CACAGCCGCCAGTTCAATTCCCATAGGAGCCAGTGACGCTGTGCCCAAGCTGACCTGCCGCTGAGCTGCCAACAGGTGGCAGGATGGCTCAGCTGGTGAGAGCATGAGCTCCTAACAACAAGGTGGTCTGTTCCCAGATGATGGGCTATGCCCACGCACAACTAAAGACTGAACTCTGCACCTTGAGCTGAGCTGCCACCCGGGTGGCTCAATGGATAGAGAGCGCGCTCTTAACAACAAGGCTGCTGTTTCGACTCCCGCATGGGATGGAGGCTACGCCCACCCACAACTAAGATTGTAACACAGAACCTTGAGCTTAGAGGCCACGAGCTGCCAACAGGCAGCCAGATGGCGACTGGAGCCTCCACAGCTAACATTGAAGAACAACAACTTGGCTGGTCCCCTTCCCCAATTCCCCAACACTGTTCCCCTCCCCTAATTCCCCAATAAAATTAAAAAAAAAAAAAGAGTTTAACAGCTCTCTCCTCAGCGGCCTGAGGTGCTCTGGGAGCCCCCACCCCAGGGGAATGTGTCAGCTTCATGTCTGTGTCCACAGCCCAGCCCAAGCCTGGCAGAGGGCAGGCATCAGGAAATGCCCATGGAATGAGTAAAAGTCCATCTAGCTATGGTGTGCCCCAAACTGTGGAACATAGAAATAATCCTAACCAGATCTGAGCCCCGTGGTTTCTCCCCCAATCTTTCCACATCCCATCCCTTCCCCTACCTCTAGCCCTTCACTCACATTTATTCTCGGTCCCATCCAGCTCAATCATAAATTTGTCAACTTTTTCTTGATCCACAACACTTAATTTCTGGAAGGGCAGGTTTGAGGAGGGAGAGCAAATGTCAGATTTGTCAAGAGGTCAGGGCATGTGCAGGAGGAACAAGTACAGGTATTTTGGGGAGAATGACAGTTGCCATTTGGGGTGAGGTGGCAGGGGTCTGGGGAGGGGATTAAGGACAGCAGGCTCCTCCCACTTGCCTTTTCCAGCAGAGCGGGGCCTAGAGTCTTATTGATGTGTTCCACAGCCTTCAGGACCCCTAGAGAGATGGGAGGGGGTTCAGATTTCCGATTCAGTCAGGTCTCTTCCTGCGGATCCCAGCTCCTCAAGAGACTTTTGGGTTCTAGTCCTCTATCCCACGCAAACATTATGTGCCCATGTCCTGAAAGCACCCCACAAGGCTCCTCCAGTATTGGTCTTTCCTCACCTTTGCCCAGGTAGCGAGATTTGTCTCCATCTCTTAGTTCCAGAGCTTCATAGATACCTGTGGAAGCTCCGCTGGGCACAGCTGCTCGGAATCGGCCTAGGGCAGGATCAATTGGAAGATCACAGAGAGTCCCATCCACCCCCAAAGGGCCAAGGCATCCTCTCTGAGACCAGGGGCAAAAGGCAGGGCAGATAGACTCCTGCTTCTCCCCACAAGGGAACCAGGTTGGAAGAGGAAGGCCTGGGAAGAACTCTGGGAAAGCAGATCTCAGAGAAAGGTGAGGATATGGGACAGTTGGGGGGCAAAGGCCAAGATGGTGTTGGGGTCTTCCAAGGCAGACCAATTTAATGGGGCTGTGTTACCCTTGGCAGTGTACAAGTCCACCTCCACAGTGGGGTTGCCCCTGGAGTCCAGGATTTCACGGGCAAGGATTTTCTGCATGGCCATAGCTGCAGGACAAGAGGCATGAGTGAGTGTGGACAGTTGATCCCTTAAGGAACCCGAAATCCCTTGCCCTTTAAGAGTCTTCCCCACCCCAAGAAGGCAGGTGCTGGAGCTAAAAATACCCCACAAAAAGGTCACAGACCATAGAGGCGGGGCACAGCCCCCTCCCCCACTCAGAACAGCTCCTATTCCACCCCCCCACCCCCACTCCCTATCCTAAGAATCCAGGAGCCTCTCCTTTATAACTCCTGGGATTCCACCACTCCCTGAATCCCATCTCCTGCAAAGTTGCATTTATGCCTTCTCCCATCACCCTTCTAGTCAAACATTTTGTTCTCTATCGCTTCCTAGCCCTCAAATCCTCTCCCGTTATTCTGGTTCTCATTTTCCTGCTTCTCATTCTTCTTCAGATCCTGGGGAGTGCGGGGAGGAGGGGGGCGCAAATTCTCCAACTGGCTCTAGCTCTACCAGCTCTATCCATTTCTGCCTGCCTCTCTTCGCAGCCTCATTTCCCTATCCTTGGGTACCCCTATCCTGTTTGCTCCAATCCACCATCTTTCTTAAGCACCCCCAATCCCAGAAAGGAAAAAAAAAGCTGATATTTTCCCCATCTTCTTCAAGCCAGCACCACCCTCACCCTTTACCACTCCCATGCCCTAGGGCTGGAAGATTCACCAGACCTGGGTGTCTTTGCTGGGGGCTTGGGGTGAGCTCCGAGTCTAGGTGGCAGCTGGGACAGTGTCACCTCACCCCCTCTCAGGCTGGGCATTTATCCCCAGCCACGCTGTCCCCCAGCCAGCCCCGCCTCTCTCCCTCTCCATCCTCCCCCTCTACATGCAGCTGGCAGCCAAGTGCCCACTACAGCCTAAAGCCCCAGTCCCAAAGGTTAATGACTACCCCTCCTTTCTCTCTGTTCCCAATAAAAGTCCCTACTTTTAATTCCACCCCTGGGAAGGAGCAGGGGAGGGGCTTCAGAATGGGTGTCTCTCCCCTCCCCAGTATTATGTTCTCCTTTTGCAAAGGTTAAAGAGGAACTAGTGCCATTTAGGAAAGGCCAGGGGTAACCTGAGCCCTGCAGGGCTGGGGAGGGGGCCTGGAAGAGGGGCTGCAGGATTGACATCCACACATGCTTAGCTCACTTGGTGGGCAGGGACTGCCTCTGCCTTCAGTGGGGGAAGGAGCCAGGGTTTATGGGCAAGCTCTTAAGTCTAAAATCAACCCCCCCCCATTAAGAAGGTGAGAGGGTCTCACCTCTTAGGATCCTCATAGCGGCCTCTCCCGGCTCCATCCCATCTTACCCAATCCAGGCCAGCAAAAGGGGTGGAGGAGGGGGCAAGGAGACGAATTTAGACCGGCCCACAGAGTTGGCTCGGCTTCCTACAGATAGCGCTGGGACAGCACTTATCGCCCAGCTTGTAGACTGTCAGTCAGGAGCCCCTATCCCCACCGACTGCAGGCGCTTCAGGGCGCTGTCCCAGACCATCACCGAAAGATGTTGAATCAGCAGCGAACAAAATGAATGGACCAGAGGAAGGGGGGGGGGGTGGCCTTGAGTATCTGCACGCCCGGAGCTAGTCCGGCAGTCTGCTAGTAGCATTGGAGGAAAGTGGGTCTCTGCATTCAGTAACTCTCGCTGGCGGGTTTGAGGGGAGGGTCTGTCCCGAGTTCTGCTGCAGCCCGGCCAGGTGAGGGAGGCACACTAAGGCTCGGACCTGCCGGCAGGCAGGCGAAGTTCCGGGGACGCCTCGGAGTTCCTCGCCCCCGACTCGGAAGCTCCTGCCAACGGCGCTAGAGCAGCCTGCGCCGGGTGACTCACCCCCGCGGCCCTCTACCCAGTTCCCCTCTCCGCCCACCCTGCCCCGCTTACACGGTCTTACTGCCCCCAGCCCAGAGTCCCTCCCCCTATGCCGCCCCTCCCTCCTTATCTCGGGCCGCTCCCTCCAGGGATTTTTCCACCCGGGGGTAGGGGGTGCGGCAGGCCAGAGGTCAGGAGATGGCGGGCGGGGAGCGCCGCCACGTGCCCGTTTGAGGCCCCGCCCGAGCGGGCCAGTGACTCAGCCCCGGCGGCTGTCGAGGAACTAAGACTCGGGGGGCGTCGGGTGCTCCTGAGGTGCGGAGTAGCCGCGAGGGAACCGCGCCCCGCTCGGGAGGATGCGAGAGAAAGGCCCCTTTCCCTCTGGGGAGGCGACCCTCTCGGGAGGGACCGGAAGCAGCCCAGCCCCTAGGCGGCCCAGGCAATCTGAGCGCGGTCAGTTCACCTAAGCCTACGCCAGGTCCTGCCCCACCCCCTTCCCAGATGGTGGGCGACCTAATCGCACTCAAGTTCTTGGCGTAAGTTTTAATGAAAAAGAAGAAAAAACTCAACGGGCCCAAAGTAGAAGGGACTTTTCCCCTTCTTGAAAAAGTTGCAAATATGAAACTTCTTAGTATTCTTCCGCCTTGAAAAATAGGCCCGCCTGTCTAGCCCCGCGGGTGTCCGCGCTCAGTGACCTCTGCAGAAACGCGCTAAGGGGCAGGGCCAGTGACCCAAACTACTAGCCGGGAAACAGGCGGGGCTGGGACTTAGGGGTGAGGCCAGGGGCTGGAGCTTATCCAGCTAGGGATACTCCCCTCGAGTGGGAGTGGACTCCACTGAGTCCAATTTGTGCCACCGGGCAGATGCTGGCGATAGAAGTGTCCCCAGCGGATGCCTTCAATTCTGAAACCGGTCTGGGTATTTTGTCAAATTCCCCTTTGCTCCCTTACTTGATTAAATAAAATCTACAGTGAAGCCGCACCGCGCACGCCACGCTCTCGCCCCCGCCCCTTCCGCCCGGCGGGAGACACGTCCCCCGCCGCCTTCCTTCGCAGGGGTTCCAAATGGGTCCAGCCAGGCGCGCCGCGGCGCGCGCCCGCCAAGCCGGCCGCCAGCCCTAACCGCCCTAAGCGCTTTCCCTCCGGGCCCCGGCGCAGGCGCGGGCGCACGCGCCGCCGCCCGCCGTGCCTTCCCTCCGGCGGAGGTGGGGGAAGGGGCAGTCATTCTGTTTAACCCTGAGTTCCCCAAATCCTCTTTAATTTGCTAAATTTGCAGCTTGCTAATTCTTCCTCCTTCCACTTTCCTTTTTCCCTCCAGCTCACTCCCTTCCCTTATACCAACGTGTGCTTTATATTCCGTGCGAAGTGGAGCAAACCCTAACCCTAACCTCTCCCTGCCCCCCACTTCATTCTTTTACATTGCTTTCCATTGAACTCTGCAAATTTTGCAACAGGGGGAGGGATTTTTAAAATTGCATTTGCAAAGTTAGGTAGCTGGGCTGGAGGGGGGATAGGGAGGGAATGGGGCGCAGGCCCCGCCCCTACCGCTCTTTGCATAAAAATCTAGAAGGGGGGGAGGAGCAGGAAGTGGCGGTGCGAGGACTGCTGCACATCTAGCAGAGCCACGGTCCGGACGGCAGCGCGTGCCCCAAGCTCTCAGCCTCCCCCCGCCCGCCAGCCCGAGGCAGCCCGAGCCCAGCCCGCGGTCCCAGCCAGCAGCGCCGAGAGCAGCCCCAGTAGCAGCGCCATGGCCGGGTGGAACGCCTACATCGACAACCTCATGGCGGACGGGACCTGTCAGGACGCGGCCATCGTGGGCTATAAGGACTCGCCCTCCGTCTGGGCCGCCGTCCCCGGGAAAACCTTCGTCAACATCACGGTACTGCGAGGCCTGCGCGGTCAGGGGAACTGGCTGGGCTTGAACCCTGAGGGAGGGACTTGGGTGGGGGCGGGCGCGGTTTGGGGCGTGCAGCGAAAGGCCGTGCGTGACCCCTTCTTGCCCTGGAAGCGGCGCGAATGGCGGTTGCACGTGAGCAGGCCCCTCGGTTGTCCCTAAGTTCTACACCCCCGGCGACGGCTCCCATCCCGCCCGCTGCCCCGCTTTCTGCGACGGGGCGTTACATCCGGGGCACAGGGCGGGGAGGGGCGCGCCGCCCGGTGCCGCGGCCCACTTCCGCCTTGTCCAGGGCGGGGCGGACACGCGCTGCAGTTTCAACCAGGGATTGTGATTGAGAAGGGAGTTGGGGACCCTGGACCCCCAGCTCCACTTATTGCCGCCAGCTCCTGCCTCCTTCACCATTGTTCCCCGTTATACGGAAGGGAGCCCCAGTCGCGAGGCCTGGGTCCCATGCCGGTCCTCTGTGGGCTCCCTGCCCCTCCCAACTCCGTTAAAGAGGGAGAGGCCGCCTCACGCCCCCCTAAGTCGGCACGGTAGACTCAATATTCTTGTGAGACCAATCCCGGAAGTGCCCTCGCCCTCCCTTCCCGCCATCCTGCGGGGCCTGGAGCAGGGGAACTTTGTGAGAAGTTCTAGGATAGTATAAGTGAAGGAATAAGGAATGACTAGGGCTGTCCCCATCACCACCTCCCCTGTCCGCACTGCCCGGAAGTGGGGAGGGGGAGCGGAAGTTTGAAAGGGGGGGAAGGGGATTTCCGGGCGGGAGGGGACCGGATGTGGGGATTTGGGGTGTACGGGGGAGGGGGAGAAAGCTTCCCTGGGGTATCTTCACCCGAGAATTGGCGTGCCGGGTCTACCTTCAGGCCCCCCTTTAAAAGTTTTTTCCCACTTTCCCGGAAAGCCCCTAGAGATCTGCTTCCTCATCTTGGGGCACAGATACCTAGATCAAAACTCTGGGTTACTTGGAGACCCAGGCGTCCGGGCCCCTAACAACTCCTTCAGAACCTTTGACCAAATAAGGGCAAAGTTGCTTCTCCTGCTTTGCCCGCCCCCTCCCTTCCCCTCTTCGCTTCTGCTTTTCCTGAAAGAGATTTCTGAGCATCCAGACGCTCCCCACTCCATTCCACTCCGCGCTCCTCACTGGTTTTTGGCCCCCTTTATTTCTTGGCTTTACTTTCCCTCTTAAGCGAGACCTGTTTCCAGACCCATTCTGTATGTTTGAGGATCTTGATCTTTTGTGCACTAACTTCCAAGAGTCCTAAGAGCTTCTGATATTTCATGGATATGTACAAAGCACATAACATATACACACCTTTCCTCCCCAGGGGGGAGGGTTCTAGCTCCCCTGAGAAGTGGAGGGCAGGTGCGTCCTTGGAGAAGGTGGGAATCTTGTTGTACTGACTAACTTGATGAGTGCTTGGTTCCCCTTCCAGCCAGCTGAGGTTGGTGTCCTGGTCGGCAAAGACCGGTCAAGTTTTTTCGTGAATGGGCTGACACTTGGGGGCCAGAAATGTTCTGTGATCCGGGACTCACTGCTGCAAGATGGGGAATTTACCATGGATCTTCGTACCAAGAGCACTGGCGGAGCCCCCACCTTCAACATCACTGTCACCATGACTGCCAAGAGTGAGTTTCTGAGTCTTACACTTTCTCTAGCTCCAAAATCCCTACAGTACCTCCTCCTGTGAATCTTGGTTTTTTTTTCTGTGGTTCCCCAGTATGAAGGGATCAGACCAGCTTTCTACTCCCAGCCTCCTGGATGCTGGAACCCTGGATAGTCCCTCCAGTGCTCAGTTCCTCATCTTGTAATATAAACTGTATTACCTCTTAAATTCCCTTCATGCTTTGAGCATTTTCAGATGAGAAACTTTTCTTGGAGGAGGTATAGTGTGTCGGTTATGTCAGCACTTCTCTCTCATCTTTTGAGTCCTTGTTAAAACTTGGAGGTGGCAGTCTCATCCACAGCCATTCTAGCCTGAACACTCTCTCAACCAACTCAACTGTCTGAGCCTCTGACCCTAAATTTTAGTGTGTTTGCTTCACTTGTCTTTAGGCTTGATTTTCCCCTTTTGAAAAGGTCTATTGTTTCAGAGTGACTGACAGCCTGCCTGTGTGTGGGGGTTGGGAGCCATGAGGTTGGGTTACAGCCCCTGGGGCTGGACAGCTGCTGAACAGCTGGCAGGGGGTGGAATTATGACACCTGGGTCCTAGCATGCTTTTTCTTTCCTCCAGCGCTAGTCCTGCTGATGGGCAAAGAAGGTGTCCACGGTGGTATGATCAACAAGAAATGTTATGAAATGGCCTCCCACCTGCGGCGTTCCCAGTACTGACCTCGTCTTTCCTTCCCCACCCCACTCCCCACTGCTTTTGCACCCTTCTCCTTCCCATACACACACATACACCATTTTTATTTTTTTGGGCCATTACCCCACACCCCTTATTGCTGCCAAAACCACATGGGCTGGGGGCCAGGGCTGGATGGATAGACACCTCCCCCTACCCATACCCCTCCTGTGTGTGGTTGGAAAACCTTTTTGTTTTGGGGGTTTTTTTGTTTTTGTTTGGATTTTTTTTTTTTTTGGTTTTTTTTTTTTTTCTGAATAAAAAAGATTCTACTAACAAGGTGCTGTGTGGTTTTAGCCTTGGTGTAAGGATAGAAGATAGTCACTGGGACTTGGCTCCTTTATCCTGGCTTGGGTTTAGGAATGGGAAGGGTTGAAGCACTACGAAGTCTCGGGATTTGAGCTTGCCTCCATGTCCAGGACTAACCACCTGCTTCAGGCCTGTCTTGCCCAGTGGCCCAACCTTCCACAGTGGCACTTCCAGCCCTAGGTACTTGGTTTGCTGTTTCAATTAGTGGATAATAGAATAGAGCCATCCAGACCAGAGAATGAATGGGTCCAGGCCTGAGGGCAAGGCAGGGCCAGTTAAGTCATCCTTCTGTGGGTGGAGCTCCCCCCTGAGTCACAACAACTACCTGCTGGGACTGTCCCAGTGACTGCAGGTTAGTTTCTCCCAGCACTTCCCTGCCCCTTTGTGGCAAAAAAACGGGGGGACAACTCCCCAAATAGTTAAGAGGGTCTCCTGTGAGAGAATGATCTCTTCCTTAGTCCACAAAAACAATTTTATTAACCCGATAAGTGAAGACCAAGTCCCTTTGCACCCCCAACCCCCTCAAAAGGATGGGGTTGGGTAAGGGAGAAACCCAGGTTGAGAATGCCCCATATCCCTCAACACAGACGACTAGAGGGAGAAAAGGGGGCTGTGCAAAATAGGTCACCAGAGTGATAACGGGAGCATTAGACAAGGATGGCAGCTGAGGAGGAAGAAGAGGGTGGGGGATCTGTTGTAGACCCAGGAAAAAGAAGGGGAGCTGGGGCTAGGGAGCCAAAGGAGGGGGGAATTGTGGGGCTGGACCCCAGAAGTGGGGTCCGCTCTGAGGCAGGATGGTCCCTTGCTTGCCCTTCCTCATCACCATCTTGCCCCTGAGCTTCTTCCTCCTGGTCCTCATCCCCAGGACCTCGATGGACAGGTTGCTTGCAGATAGGGCAGGTCTTCCGTGTCTGAGTGAGCCAGGGGTCCACACAGCGGCTGTGGTAGGCTGCCAAGAGGAATAGGGTGAGGCACCTGGTGCCTGCTGGTGGAGTGGGGCATGGGCACAGGAAGCAAGGGCCTTACCATGAGCACAGGGGAGTACCCTCAGCTTGTCCCCATCCTCATACTCATCCAGGCAGATGGCACAGACATCATACTGGTCTCCTGAGGAAGGAAAAGGGAGTCTCCTTTTACTGAGCACCCTGGACCAGGACCCAGAACTATGGGAGGCCTGTGCTAGAGCTCCAATTTTCAGAACTTATTTTCCCTGGTTCTACAGAGCCAGTGGAAAAGCGAAGATGGCCTGGCAGGGTAAGGCCAGGGTAGAACATGAGGAATTTGGTTGGTGTTAGAAGGGACAAGCAAAGCAGAGATAAGAAGGGAAGTGGGTTTTTTGGGGGAGGTGTAAGGGTGGAGACGGAGTGGGAGGAGCGGAAATGGGGCAGGGCTTCTGCTATTGCCTTATATGGGCACTGGAGGCTCTAGGGCCTAAAGACTAAGCCCCTCCTCACCTGTCTTCCTTCTCAGACTGAATCCTACCCACTTCCACTTTTCTATTCTCTCTACCTTTTCCCTTATAAGCAAGTTTGGTCCTCCCATCTTCCCCCCTAACTACTCCATTTAATCATCTTTTCCATCTTATGCTCTGTGCCTATCCTAGTGTGTATGTGTAAAAAGAGGAAAGGTGGCATTTCAGGCTGACATCTCCATGCCATCTTTCTTTGCCCCTTATTTCCTGTGTTTAAACTCCTTCAGAACCAGGTAAGCTATGGGAAAGGCTTTCCGCTCCCCTATCCCTCTCACCCTTCTGATAGTCATGTGTAGGAATCTGTTTCAGTTGCTCTTTGGTCAGTCGATTCTGCTGGAGCCGTTTTCGGTGCTGGATACAACGAACTATCTGGGTAAAGGGGAGTGGATGGATCAGACTTAGGGAACAAAACTGGACAATCCAGAACAAACCAAAGCCACCTCTCAACCCCAGATCCAGTCTAGCTTTAAAGGCCTCAGCTCTTCCCATCATGCTCCCTGAACTACTCACCATCACTGCTCCCATGGCCAAAACCAGCAGTCCCACAATCCCTGTGAAAGGGATGAGGTAATAGCCCAAGGGGAAGCTATTGTCTGGGACCAGAAGCACTCGAGCCCTGGGGAAAGGAAGACCAATATCAGAGGGTCAGGAAAGGCAAAGGAACAAAGGAAGAGAGACAAAGTAAATGGCTGTGCACAAGGCCCATGGATGGGGAACGGGGTAGCGAAAAAGTCAAGAGGTAGTGTGAAGGACCTAAGGGTGGGCTCCAGGTTGGCACAGAAATGCTGAAGGAAGAGTAGGAAGGAGGGATACATCCTACCCCTTCTCGTAGACAAACAGGGCACGCAGGTACTCGGAGCTCCTCTCCCCAATAAACACAGACGGGATCCAGATCTGCTGCTGGATTTCCTCTGCAGGGATCAGGGCATTACACTAGAGACCCAACCCTCCATGTAAATCCTTAGGTAACCCTGGCATTTGGCTCTTTTGCTCCATCCCACCCAAAGGACTGACTTCTTTTCCCTAAGACTTCAGCCCTCCACCATCTGAACTCTGCTGAAAACCCAGATGTCAGATCACCCAACCTTACCACTATTCCACACCATGTTCAGAAGTTCATTGGAATTCACATTGTGTACCACAGCTGCACCATACCCAGCCTTCTGAGCATTTAGGACCTACAAAGACAAAGCAGGGGATAAGGAACCATTATGGGCTTTGCCTCCCTTCATTCCTGGTGCTTTTACCCTCAGCCTCCCACTCCCACTCCACATTCAGCAACCTTGAGGTCAAAGTTGCAGTCGAATCTTCGAAGCAGTGCAATAAAGACTGACCCATTGACCGGGGCTGGGGGTGGTGGGACAATGGGGCTGCAGGCATTGGCTGGATGAGCCTCCACAAGGAAGCCCTGGGGAAGAGAAGTAAACAACAGTTGGATTTCACCTCCCTAGCTTTTGCTCCTCACAGGGCCTACCAGGCACACTGTACCCCATATACTGCATGTCCTCTTATCTTTCACTTCCTTCTCATTCCTGGGGCCTGAGCATCCCACCCAAGTCAGAAGTCTGCCTCTTTTCAGCCTCCTGAAGATACAATTAACATCAAATACCATCCCTTTACCAGATCCTCCCATCATCACTCTCCCTGTCCCAGATAAACTAACCTATACCCCTGATAAAGATGAACTGGGACTTTAAGAAAACTAATCAGGCTAAGAGGTCTATGGGAAGAGCTGGGTTTGTTGAACTCTATGGTCCTAACTTCCTTTTTATAAAACTATGGTTCTAACTTCCTGCCTTATAGACTCTCCATTTTAGTACACAAGCCAGAATGTAACCATGGCTCGCTGGGTCTGCATGTTCTGATTCTGTTGCAGCCCTTTTTCCTCTTCCCAAATAAATCCTTTTGGTGACAGACTACCTAGTCAATGTTATTTTTCAGTCGACACCCCATACTCCAAGCTAATTGAAATTATTCTGCCTTCCAGTTTCCCACTGATTGTAAATCAATTCTCCACTCATCCATGTCACTTTCTCACAAGTTCCATTTCACATTCCCTTCTAGCACATACTCTTGCAGAAGGTACTCCCCTTTGTTAAAAAAGAGACAACAGGCCCAAAATGGAGTCACTTGTGCTAGTCCCACATCACCAAAACGAAGCTTAACACCTAACTTAATTAGTTTCAGTCTTCCCCAGGGATGGACTCTTAAACAAGTCAATCTAGAATTACCTGGTCAGCACTAGTGAGACACTCTGCCTGACAGACCCCTGACAAAAGAAGGGTAAACTTGCCACAACCAGCTTTTTGCTAGTATACCTAACTTCCTGTCCTGCTTCCTTCTGCCTGTAAAAGTCTTTCAGTTTGTACAGCTCTTCAGAGAGCTGTACCTGCTACATGGGATGGTACCCAATTCATAAATCATTGGATGAAGCCAGTAAGATCTTTAAATTTACTCAGTAGAATTTTGTTTTTTAACATCTCCCTTTAATTTTCCAATTACCCATCTTACAAACAAGTATACTGATATGTATGGCCCAATTGAGCTCTTGCTGTGTGGCAGTCTTTGTGATGAAGTACTACAAAATTGTTTATTTAATTTTCACAATAACCCTGAGATAACTTATATTATCCTATGTTCCAGTAAAACAAACTAAGGGTCAGAGAGATAATTAACTTGTCCAAGCTCATAAAATCAACAATTGACTCCAGAGACCCTACTGAGAAGCACCACTTCGCCCTGCCTTTTATCTCGATCCACTTTCAGTCTCCCTCATAAGGCTCAAAGTTTTAGGGGTAGCCTTTGCTTTCTCCTTCCAGATTCTGGATTCCACACTACATGTAGTTGTACACTTACTTCCTAACTTGACTGTTTTCCTACCTCTAGCTTCATCCAACAGCAAGGCTCCTCAACCCCTCCCAGGATGGAGGATTTAGGGAAAAGGGAAAAAAATCACCTGAAGCCCCTCCTGGCTCAAGGCAGCCCCAAAGAGAGCTGGGAGGTCTGCAAAGTCCATGCTGGCATTATGGTCCGAGGTCTGCGGACAAAGAGTTCATGTTCCCCTTCAGCGTGCACCCCTCCCTTCAGCGCCCTTCCCCCATCCGCCCCTCAGACTCACCGCTCGAATGAGCCCCCGAATGGGGGCCGCTCCCCACAGCACAGTGGCCACAAACACAGGAAGCGGGAAGGCCGCAGGGTGCATGGCAGCGGGGAGAGGTTGAGGAAGCGGCCTCCCGATAGCAGGAGCAGAAGCGGAGTGCTGCGCCCTCTCCGCCCCTCCAGGATCCCAGGGGTCCAATCACCCCCAGGTCCCACTTCCCAGCTACATGGGGGTGCGGAGAAGGGACCCAGACTCGGGGAGTGAGATATGCAACCCGTTTAGTGAGGCTGGCAGAGAGACACTAAACGTATCCTTTCCTGATTTTAGGGATAAAAACGGAAAACGGGGAAACGGGACGGAGGTAAGCACAGGTGACAAACTTCTGGAAGGGTGGGGGAGCTCAGGGAGGTGGGACTTCCGGCTAGGTGGGCCGTCTTCCTGAGCCCTGGAAAAGGGTTTCCGGTAAAGAAAGTCAGGCCGCTTCCAGCATTGGACGCTCAAGATGAAGGACTTCCGGTTCTAAAAGGCCGGTTAAAAGAAAGGTTAGAAGTGGAAGGAGTGCCTGTGGAGATTAAGGGAGTCCCGAGTCCCAGAAGACGACCTAGTCGTTTCTCTTTCACTGCTCGGCTCCTGGAGCTGCGGGGTTTACAAACCTCTCCTCCCTCTGGCTGCCGCCGCCGCGGTATCTTCAGGTCTCGCGAGAGTCCTCACACTTCCCTCCCACCAGCTGAAATCTTGCTGTATCTATCGCGAGAGCCCTCCTAACTCTGCCTAGCCTAGCTCACTCAATCTCGTGAGATCTCAAACAACCTCTACTTTCCCGCGATTCCAATTCGGTAAAAACTGCGTCTATGCTCTGACTTCCTAAATCAGTCACACCCATTCCCGCACCCATCTTTGAAGCTCCTCCTTCAGCTCCGCCTTACTCCCGGCCGCCTTTGCGCTGCGCGCCTGCGCCTGCGCTAGCTTCCAGCTGGTGCTGGACCTGAGAGCCCGAGGGGCGTGCGCGCGCGTCCTCGCCCCTGTTGCGCGCGCGGTGTCACCTTGGGCGCGAGCGGGGCCGCGCGCGCACGAGACCGGGAGCCGAGGGCCATCGTGTAGTGATGGCGGCGACGGCGAGTCCCGGGGCCGGCGGGATGGACGGGAAGCCCCGTACCTCCCCTAAGTCCGTCAAGTTCCTGTTTGGGGGCCTGGCCGGGTAAGCTCAGGCCCCAGGGATGGGAAAGGAGGAGGAAGGGACGGGTGCAAGGAACCGGGCCCAGTTCATCTTGGGGTCTGTTGCAGTGAACCGAACCTGCACGGGGTCAGCGCCGTCCTCAGCGTATTGCGAGGTTCTTGATGGGCTGCCAGGATCTTTTCACCCATTGCAGGGCCCCCACTGGGCTGCATGCAGGGTCATTGCACGGCTCCCGCCGGGCCTCCTGAGTTTCCCAACCCACTGCTTGGCTCTGCCAGGTTGTATAGGGTCCCAGTTCATTGCATGGCTCCTGCCCGACTACGTAGAATCAATCCCAGGTCATGAATGCCTACCTCCCCTTCCTGGTCGGACTGCATGCAGTCCCAGGTCACTGCTTGACCCCGCTTGGAGCTGCATGGAGCACTTTCATTGCATGGCCCCTACTGGATCACTGAACTTTTCAGACCCATTGCTCTTGATGCACAGAGACTTAATACACATGCCTACCACTCTCCTGAGCACTCAGTCACATAGCAGGCCTTGTCCTTTGTGACCCCTTGTTGCCAGGCTCCAGTGGGCATTGGTAGATCTGGGACACCTGGCCCTTGACTCCACTCATCTTCCCCCAGGATGGGAGCTACAGTTTTTGTGCAGCCCCTGGACCTGGTGAAGAACCGGATGCAGCTGAGTGGGGAAGGCGCCAAGACACGAGAGTACAAAACCAGCTTCCATGCCCTCACCAGCATCCTGAAGGCAGAAGGGCTGAGGGGCATTTACACCGGGTATTGGGGCCACAGGATGGGGGATAGGGTGCGGGTTGGCAGCTCCAGATCTTGGCCTGATACACTTACCCCTTCACTTCCCAGGCTATCAGCTGGCCTATTGCGCCAGGCCACCTATACCACCACTCGCCTTGGCATCTATACCGTGCTGTTTGAGCGCCTGACTGGAGCTGATGGTACACCCCCTGGCTTTCTGCTGAAAGCCCTGATTGGCATGACTGCAGGTGCAACTGGTGCCTTTGTGGGAACACCAGCTGAGGTGGCTCTAATCCGCATGACTGCTGATGGCCGGTGAGTTCCAGGTCTGAGCCTGCCTCCAGCCCCATTCTCTGGAATCTAAAGTTAAGGACTAACTTCTTAGATCTAGAGCAGAGCATTCATCTGTTCTGGCCTCCATGTCTTTGCTCCCGCCGGACAGGGTAATCTGTCCTGAGCTTGGTCTCTCCCTACCTTTCCACCAGACTTCCAGCTGACCAGCGCCGTGGCTACAAAAACGTGTTTAATGCCCTGATTCGAATCGCCCAGGAGGAGGGTGTCCCCACACTATGGAGGGTGAGTGAAGGGTCTGGAGATTTGGGGAACATGTGGCCAGGCCTTGGGCATTCGTTTCTGACTCCTCCCACCCGCCTCCTCACCCAGGGCTGCATCCCCACCATGGCTCGGGCTGTCGTCGTCAATGCTGCCCAGCTCGCCTCCTACTCCCAGTCCAAGCAGTTCTTACTGGACTCAGGTGAGAGCCAGAGCTGGGCCCTCAGCTCTTAGCCTGGCCCGGGCCAACTCTGGGCTGACTGCCATACCCGACTCCGCTTCCCACAGGCTACTTCTCTGACAACATCCTGTGCCACTTCTGTGCCAGCATGATCAGTGGCCTGGTCACCACTGCTGCCTCCATGCCTGTGGACATTGTCAAGACTCGGTGAGTCTGTAGGCCTGGACCTAGGGAGGGATAGGAGGGCCCCCTTTATGTCTCTCATACCCCTACACCCTCTCCTTTAGGATCCAGAACATGCGAATGATTGATGGGAAGCCGGAATACAAAAACGGGCTGGTGAGAAAGCAGGGCTGGGGGCTTAGGCTGGACCATTGGAGTCCTGGGAGGGCATTGAGGGTAGCAGGGACCCGGAGGCCTGGTTCTAGCCACAGCACCTTGCCTGCCTGCCTGTCTAGGATGTACTGGTGAAGGTCGTCCGCTACGAGGGCTTCTTCAGCCTGTGGAAGGGCTTCACACCATATTATGCCCGCCTGGGCCCCCACACCGTCCTCACCTTCATCTTCTTGGAGCAGATGAACAAGGCCTACAAGCGTCTTTTCCTCAGTGGCTGAAGCAGGCGAGGGGCCTGGAGCAGGTGTGCTGGGGCTCCCACTCACCTGCTACTCCTACAGTCAGTGTGCCCTCAGGGGGCCTGGACTGCTGCCCTGGGCCCCTCTATTTATTTTACCTCCACAGTGTGGTTCCCTCCTCTGCAGTAAAGGACTTTGGTCTGTCCTACCCCTGTTCCAGCTTGCCCTACTTGTCCTGAACCTCATGACCTCTCTGTTCCTGGCTGTGCCTTGGGGGAACTGGGAAACTCCTTAAGGATTTCCAACCTCCTCTTGGGTGTTAGTTTCAGGGTACATAGGACAACAGAGGATCCCTCTTTTCAGTGGGGAAACTAAGGCAGAGCTGAAGGGACTGGAGAGAGCAGAAGCTGTCAAGATGGTCAGGGGTCTGCAGTGGGAAGATGTGGCCCTCCACCTCACTGAGGACGTAATCAATAAATTGGATTGATGACACCACCCCCAAATCTGGAGAGTTGTGGGGGCCAGAGTGGGAGGAGATTGGATCAAGAAGCGGATGCCCCTAGAGAACAAGAACTGAAGTTTTTAAGAAAAATTATTAAAAAAAAGAATCACTGCTCGTTTCATGCAAATGATATGTCAATCAGTCTTGTTGCAGCAGTTGATGGGGTAAGGAAAACCAAAATTTAGGCCCCATGTCTTGCTTCCCAGCCACTCACCCAAGAATGCGACAGATGCACAAGTCAGCACAAGTCATCTCACATAATCCCCAGGAAAAGCCTGTAGGGTCTGGTGACTGCTTCTGTGGCCTAAAGAGGGAGGGAATAAAGAATCTAAAAGAAGAAGGCTGACCTGTGGTGGAGTAGAGCGGCCGGGCTCAAGGGAGTGAGCACGGAGCCAGGCCCCCGAAGCCTGGAGGCTTGAGGAAACAGGAGGGTGTTAGCCAAAGACTTGATCTGGGCTCTAAGCTCTAGAGTGACTGCCTTGTCCGATTCTTTAGAAGGAGATGAATGACTCCCAGGCCCTGCCCTCAAGGAGCCTAAAAACCTCTTGGGGCATAAAAGGGCATGAGAAGGTCAACTGGAAAGAGGGTTGGGCAGAGTGAGGCCTGAAGCCTGAGCCAGGCCAGGGGACAGGCAGGCAGCAGGTGGGAGCTGTCCCCTTGGCAGAGCCTCATCAATAGAAGAAGAGGCGGAGCTCAGCAGCCTGGCATCCCTGCTGGGCCCTCCCTCCTCTGCCTCTCTTCTTACCCGCTCCATACACATGTTGGCCTGGGCCATAGTGGCCACTTTGAGACACTTGAGGCCTGAACCTTGTACTTAAGGAGTTCCAAGTCCAGAGGGGAAGATGACACAGGAAGAGTTGGGGAACTGGGAGTGTAGCAATAGACAGTTGCCAGGTAACTTGGAGCATCTGGCCCAGCCTGGGGAGGAGAGACCTGTGCACAGTAGCAGTTAGACTGGCCAGGGAATGGGGGTGGGGCAGCACTCCTGGCTGACAGGAGAGCAAAGGCTTAGAGGAGAAGGTCTGGGAAGCAGGTGATCTATGCGAGATTTGCAATAGCTGGAGCATGGGTTATGAGGAACCTGTTGTGAGAAAAGTCAGACTATTCGATGGGTCAGTGTACAGAAGTCCTTGATTGCCAAGCTCAAGAGTCTGTCCTCTGTCCAGGGAAGAGCTCAAAGCAGTAGAGAAGCAGTCAGATTTTCAATTTAGGAAATTCTTCCAGCACTATCTGAAGCAGGGGGTTTCCATGGAGCCAGAAAGGCTGTCTTCACTCCCGTTCCCTGGGCCCCAAGCCTTGGTTTGGGCTGGGGACAAGGCAGGAGAGAAGAAACCATTGAATGTGGTAAGGAGGATGTCAGAATCTATGGCACCAGGGGAAAAGTGGTTTCCATTTGCCTGCATCCTAGCTTGAGAGTAGGGAACTCAAACTGTTCAGTAAAACCTAACAAGATGGCCCACACCCTTACTCTGTCCCACTCACCTGGGCAAAGCAGGAGACTGCATTTCTGAGGTTGCAGGTGGGAGCAGTCCCCTACCTTCTTCACTCCTAGTCCTGTGGGCCACAGGCAGGCATGCCTCAACAGTATCACTGAGCTCCAAGGAAACGTGGTTCTTGAACTGAAATGTGCTTGGGGTGGCCTAGAGGGTGGTCACCCCTGGAGGTGAGAGGTAGGCATCCCAGGCAGGGGAAGTACAGACTAAGACAAAAGCTTTTTTTGGATGAGTAGTACAACTAAGGTAGGGGCAGCTGGGGCCTTGGGAATGCTAGTGACAGGTGCCCCAGCTACTCTCCCTTGCGAAAAGAATCCAATTTTTCTTTTTTAAATTTTTTATTATACAAATAATATATGATGGTAGAAAACTAGAAAATGCTAAGCAGAGGAAAGGAAAACCATATTTCTACCACCCAGAGACAATCAGGGCTCACATCTTAATGAATTTCTTTTCAAATTTTCAATACACAGATAAATGGGACCGCACTATTCTGTTTATTTTTCCTAAAACTTTCCCCAAAGTGTTAATAACATAGTGGCCTGAGAGACCCCAACCCCATGCAGCATTGGGAGTTTTGTTCTATGCCCCACAAAACTCCCATCTCACTACCCATCCTGGTTTGCTGGGTCTGAGGTTGTATTCCTGTGGTGTGAAGAAGAGGCTTCTGATAAAGGAAAAGTAAGACCTCTCTCTGATCATGTGCTTATCCACCCACCCACCCACAGCTAGATCCCGATAGGAAAGCCCATCAGAGCCTCTCAGGGTCCCCAAACTGCCCACCCCTCAGAGGCTGTGGCCAGAGTACCTAATGCCCACTGTACCCAGCAGGTCTTGACCACGACCCAGACTCAGGGCTGAGGGCTGCCGTCCTCCCACCAGAGGCCCCACACGGCCATTAGGCCGGACCCACAGGAAGAGACTAGAGCGGAAAGTTGGAATTGACCCTTGAAGGAAAAGCAGCCAGGCCCGGGGCATGGTCACTTGCCTTCCCCTCTGCAGCTCCAGATGTGTGGTGTGCATGGCTGTGGCCAGGGCGACAGACTGGCCGAAGTCCAGGGCCTGTGGTTTCACGTGCCCGACCCAGGTCAGCAGCAAGAGGAGGACCACAGAGGCAAACAGGAGCCACAGGCAACCCAAGATGTAGAAGCCCAGGGGAAGGAGACAACAAAAGTCAGGGCTGAGAAAAGGGTCGTTTCTGGAGCTATCCACATTCCCTTGAGTCACGCCACAGACCCGGGGGTCCAAAAATCCAGAAATGGTTGGGGATTTTGAGGTGGTAGTTAAGAATATGGTTGGTTCTGGGGTGGTTGGAGTTGTGGTGGGTTCTGGGGTGGTCGGGGTTGTGGTGGGTTCTGGGGTGGTCGGGGTTGTGGTGGGTTCTGTGGTGGTTGGGGTTGTGGTGGGTTCTGGGGTGGTCAGGGTTGTGGTGGGCTCTGGACTGGTTAGTGTTGTAGGTTCTGGGGTGATCTGGGTTGTGGTAGGTTCCAGGGTTGTAGGTTTTGGGGTGGTCAGGGTTGTGGTGGGCTCTGGACTGGTTGGGGTTGTAGGTTCTGGGGTGGTCGGGGTTGTGGTAGGTTCCGGGGTTGTAGGTTCTGGGGTGGTCGGGGTTGTGGTGGGCTCTGGACTGGTTGGGGTTGTGGTGGGTTCTGAGATAGCCAGGGTTGTGGTGGTTTCTGCAATGGTCTGGGTTGCGGTGGGCTCTGGACTGGTCGGGGTTGTGGTGTGTTCAATAGTGAGTTTTGGAGTTTGGGAGAATGTGATGGATTCTGTGGTGGTTGGGAATATGGTCTGTTCCTTAGTGGAGTCTTGGGTTGGAGGCAAGTAGGACTTTGGGCTGCCTAGAGAAGAAGCAGTAGATTCTGGGTCGAGTGGGCTCTGGTATGTTGTATATTTGGTGTTAGTAGAGGACCAGATCACAGTTGTTGTTGTAGACTCCGTAGTAGAGCTGCCTGGGGCTGTCATATCACTGGGGGAGGGGCAGCCCTCCCCTGAGTAGGCAAAGACGGGTGTGCTGGGTATATTGACACATTGCACACTCCTCACATTGGGGGTTGTGACCTTGACGTCCACACCCTTATTCCATAAGTAGACATTGTTGCTATTCTCTTGCAGCCATTCACTGAAATAGAGGAGGCTGCAATTACAGAACCAGGGGTTTCCGTGGAGAAAAACATAAGGCAGGAGGAGGTCTCCAAAGAAGTCCTTTGGTATTGTTCGCAGCCAGTTACTTTGGAGGTAGAGGGTTTCGAGCTCATTCAACCCACACAGGAGCTCAAGAGGCAGCTCTGTTAACTTGTTTTCACCTAGATCAAGCTTCTTCAGGTGGGTTGTAGGCGCCAGGAGCCGGGGGGGCAGAGTCTTTAGCTTATTTCCACGCAGGTTGAGCTCTTGGAGTTGGCTCAGGCCATCCAGGGCATCAGGAGACAACGAGGCCAGCACATTGAAGGAGACATCCAGGGTAGTGAGTGCTGGCAATGCCAGTCCTAGCAAGGGCAGGCTTTTCAACTTATTGTAGGGTATTTCCAGGGTCCCCAGCAGTGGCAGCTTCCCATCAGCCTGCAGGTTGGTCAGCTGGCTCTCACCCAGGTACAGCTGAGTGAGGCGAGTCAGAGGCACCAGGGACGCCGTGGAGAAGGTGCCCAGGGGGTTCTTACCCAGGTGGAGGATGGCTGTCTCTGGTGGCAAATCTGGAGGCAGTGCCTTCAGCCCCTGGCTATCACAGTTCACTTCCAGCTGGCTGGCCACTTTGGAGACCTCACAGATGGAGTGGGGGTATGAAGGGCTTGGCAGCAGGAACAGCAAGAGGAGGAGAGGCATGGGGACCTGTGGGTAAGGGGAGCTTGAGTGGGCACCCCACTAGCCCCCAGCATTACTGCCCCAGGCTCTAACCCTTGCTGAAGCCTCCAGGGTCCTTTCCAGAAACTCGGCTCCCATACCTCCCACTCGCTCCAGTCCTCTCTCCTACCCTTGCCCTCCAAAGCCTAACCTAGCTCCAGGTCCTCAGCCCTTATCCCCCCTCAGATCCCCTCTGCCCCAGCCCCAACCCCAGCTTACAGGTAGGCAGAAAAAAAATCCTCCACAGGCACAGAGCTCCTTCCCGGGTGTGACTTGGTCCTTCTTGCTTCCAGCTCCAGGGAGGGCCTGGTCAGAGGCAGGAAGGGGTTGGGAATGGGTCGGAAATGCTAGCCTGATAAGGGCTCCTGTGACCTGGTGAACAGGCTCCCTCCCGGACACAAGCCCTTATCACCCCCTTCCACAACTTTCCCCCAAGCCTTCTTTTTGGCTCCACTCTCTCCCACTGTCCTACACTGGGGAGATTGGGAGTGGACTCTTCCAACCATCACCCTCATCCAGCTTTTAGAAACCTCTCCAGCTGCCACTCTCACTTCCCCTTCACAGCTATATTATTAGAGTTGCCTTATTTATTTTTTTTAAACTTATAGAGTCCTTTCTGTCTGTATTTTTTAGATTATTTTTTATTTTTTTATTGGGGAATTGCGGGGATGGGAACAGCAGTGGGGAATTGGGGGAAGGGGAACAGACAAGTTGCTGTCCTTTTGTTCTTCAATCTAGTTGTGGAGGACGTTGCTTCACTGGCC